ATGTGGGGAGAAGTCTCGTTCAGCTATGGCACCGTATCCCTCGATCACAACTTGCGGCCACGCCACACCATTGCCACCGAAATCCAGGGTCTCTACGACCGTGCCTCCGGCTATGATGAGCAAGCGCAGGACGCGCAGGAGGAGCTCGAGAGCGAGGACCCGGAGATGGTTCGGACCCTCACGCCAGAGGGCCTGAGGACGCACCAGGAGCACATGGCGCTCCTCGCTCGCGAGGTGGCATCCTGCGAGACCATGCGTGACCAGCTCGAAATGCAGGCACGCTTGCTGGAGGAGGCGCAGGCTCTCGGCATGACCGACGAAGAGTGGCGCGCGCACTATCTTGATGGGATGTGAGAGAACTCGGTGAGTGCGTCAGGTTATATGTGTGTACAGGATTACTCACTGTTTCGCAGAGGTAGGGTCCAACAATACGATAGGGATTCATGGCGCATATCTCCTCAACTAAAGCATGTTCTGTCCAGATTCGGTGTCTGTTTTGTTTTGTTTTCTATCCAAAACCGTGCATATCCGCTCGTGCTATGATGACTGTCGACAATATGTATGGGTCCGGGGCCCTCGTGATACTGCAATACATGTGCCAAGGACGGTGTTGATCCTTCATAATGACCCGGATACTATGAAACCCCGCGCTCTCAGGTGATATAACGGGTGCAATGTCAGTCTAATCACCGGAACTCATCTGCGAAACTCCACACGTGTGGTGTTTCGCGCCCTGATATCTCTCCCGAAGCCGGAAACACCACACGTGTGATGTTTCGCACCCCCGACGGAGGACAGTACACCGCGAAACAGCACACGTGTGGAGTTTCGCGCCCTGATATATAGACTGACATTGCGAAACAGCACACGTGTGGAGTTTCGCGCCCCGACATCCCGCCGTACACCGCGAAATAGCACACGTGTGGAGTTTCGCAGGTGAGCGCCTCTAGATATTCCAACACCTTCGCTCGCACCCACACCGTCCTACTTACGGTAGAGCACGGTAGAGTAGAACATCGAATATATATTACCGACTATGTGGTGGGGTTTCAATGTATAGACTCGTCGTCATGCATTCTATGTTCATCATATGAGGGCGTAACTGTACAACGTGCCTATCCAACGCCGTTGCCAACGGCTATCACTGCAAGAGTTTCTCGACCAGATCATCTCTACCACATGCACGTAGGCGCTCCAGCAGCACATCCATGTTGCCATTCTCAATGACCCTGTCCAACAGCCTATCAGCCATGCTCAACGTCGTATTCTTGATCGTGTTCAACATGACCGCACTGTCCGGTCCAATGTGACTGCGCAGGAAGGCGTCCTCGCTGTTCTCGAGGAAGTCTGCAAAGTAGTGGTTGACAGCAGCGTGGTCGAAGGGCGCACAGAGCAATCGGCCGGGAGTATCGGGAAATTCGATCAAAGGGGGGCCTCGGAGGGTAGGCAGACTGAGGGCGATGAAGCTAGAAGGGGTCGCATTGTCCCATGGCGCCCAGGGGAGAGCAAAGCACTCGAGGGCGTTGAGAGCCTCCCAGTCTTTGCAGATCGTGTCGTCGTCGCCGACATGGAACTGGAACTGGTAGACCACAAAGTCTCCCTTTTTGAGACGAACAATGCCATCGCTATAGTCCCAGCGACGGCCTCCAGGCGGCGAGGCTTGCTGGAGCTGGGAATATATATCAGATGCTCAGCGCAATGGCAGTAAAGGCGGAGCTGCACCACCGACCTCTGTCGTGTTAAAGTGAGGCACAAGCAGCCTGGGGTGATTGTCCCATGGATTTCTGGCGACACCGAGTGCTGCCCGGGGAATCCTGTGGGACATTATTTCAGTGACCGCGTGAGCAACCGGTGACACTGGGTTAGTACTCACCCGTCTCGAGTGAACAAGATGACGTTGTTGCACGGGGTCCTGCCCCGCTGCACTGCATCCGTCGACGACACTTTGCTTAGCACTTGTGCGTGCGAGCCGAACACCAGGATCGGAGTCTTCTCCTTGCGCCGGTTCTGCACCAGAACACGGAGGGTGAGCAGGGCGCGACCGTACGTTTTATTGGCGCGTATGATCTCGTGGCTGGCAGACGCAGCGGTCCCGGTCATTGTCCTCACGTAGTGATCCCTGAGCGCTCCTGGATCTATGGTGTTCATCAAGGACTCTAATCTGTCGAAGAAAACACGTCGTTAGAAGTCTGCACACAGGTCGCCAAGCTACGGTGATGCACTCAAGCCTCCCGTAACGGCCGCTAGGACGCTAGGGTCGAAGGGCCGAGAGGACGAGACCCGAGAAGTGACTTGTGTGTGTGGGGGTTTCCGAGTACGATCCCGAGTTCCCTACGAACGCGGATGCGCGGGGGACGACGGGGGTCGAGCGAGCTTATCGCTCCTGACCCGGGGGTAGGGGATTGCGCGGACGCTAGTCGGGGGATGCGACGCGGGGCGGGGTACCAGTGCGCGATGGCCTCTGAGGAGTACTCACTGTAATTGACGTGGTCGAGGGCGTAAGGGCGCTGTCGGGGAGGCTCGCGAACGCAGTCGCGGTCACAGTCGCAGACGCGGGCGCAAATGCAAACTTGAGCTCTGAAGGGGTAAGAGAAAGTGCATTTCCCGGTGCGTCGGGGCCCGCGTATATACAGGAGGGGCCGGAGCCGTACGGGAAGATAAGAAATGAAAGGTGCACCTGTCGCGCACAGCGC